CGGGCCCGGAAGACGACCCAATTAGTCGTCTGCCGAGGCCCTAAGACACTGAAATGGGAAAATATGTTTCTTCATATTAATCACTAAGCAATCTATAGCAAACTTTGCCTAGAGTAGAAAGGGAAGGTCACACAGGGTGCAGCTATTGAAGAGAGGCACAATTAGGGCATTGCCCCCTCCAAATAAGAATCCCCCCCCAAAAAATCTACTTCAGTCCCTAAATTTCTAGCCTTTCAGTACTTTAAAACTTTACTTGTGCATTTAGAAATACAGATTAGGCTGAAGTTGCACTCACAGTGAAGCTCAGATTTTTGTTGTTTTGGGCTTTCATGTTGTTTCTGACTTATGCCAAACCTAAGGCGACCCTATCACAACACCTGGCATTTGTTAGTGGTCTCCCAACCAAGTACTAACTAGGGCTGACCCTGCTTAGCTTCCAAGATCAGATGGCATCTGGTGCTTTTAGAGTAAGTTGAATATGTAGAGATAAATAAATGTAACAGGAATAAAAACATAAAACATTGATGCATGGAAATGCCATTTAATTTGTTTCTTTGGTAGTTTTCAGGAAAAAATTGCCATTAAACAGTCAACAGTTGTGGGGGGATTTCTTTTAAAAAGATATATAATATTTTAGGGCAGAGGATTAGATGGCTTAGCTATGTAGTTCTGTGACCCCAGACCTTTTATGAGTGTGGGTGAACACAGTTGTTGGCCGCTTTATCCTTATGAATTAAAAGTTACTTGGTAACAGAGATGGACAGGTACTTAATTTGATTAGCTGTAATGTTATATTGTGCCTTCTAATGACTTATAGCACCGGAGGATCCTTAATGGAAAAAGCTGCTGCTTAGCCATCACAAAGCTTCTGTGAAACAACTGTATGGTGGAAAGTAGTTAGCTGTGATAACTAATGATTGTGGATGTTAATTGGATTGTCTGTGTACTTTTCAGCAGCATTCAGGTATGTGAGAGATTCTCAACATTTTTCTTGTTGTTGTTGACTTTCTGGCACTGGACGTTCAGGAAGACATCTTTACACCCCAGATGGTAATTGTTGTTGTGTGCCTTCAAGACATTTCTCACTTACTCTATCACAGGGGTTTCTTGGCAAGATTTGTTCATAGGAAGTTTGCCATTGCTTTCCTCTGGGGTGGAGAGAGTGTGACTTGCCCAGTTGGTTTCCATGGCTGAGTGGTGATTCTAACCCTAGCCTTCAGAGTCGTAGCCCCACACTCAAACCACTACACCATGCTGGCTCTCCTTACCATTTTGAAATGTCAAAAAAGAGAGTTTTGAATGGTCAGTATCACAGACAGAGCTGCTGGTTGGAAGAACTGCAGAGAAAAATAGCATTGTCATAACAACAGTCAAATTGCACATGAGGAAGTAGTGCATTAATAAGGTATGCCAGTGTAGTTGGGTGAGGGAGCATGAAGAGTGGACATAGGAAGTATGCCACAGATAGAATGTATCTGTGGGTGCATAGGACATGATAAATATTTCTATATAGTATGCCCTTTTCACATATAATGCTAAACCAAGCATTATTTGAGCAAACAGCAGCAATCTTTTGACTTATACAGGCTCCACTCCACATATGTAGTGTTACTTGTTGGTTTGGGGTATAGCATTATCGCTAAGGGAATCCTGTGCTCCATGGGGTGTGTATGGCTTATGGACTCACATGCAGAAAAAAATAAGAATTGCCTTTCTTAGGGCCTCGGCAGACGGCTTAAAAAGCCGTCCTCGGCGCAGGGA